AAACATTTTTACTCTTATTTAGGGCAATCTCTATCATATGTTTTGATAACCCAACTTTTGAATGGAGCATATAGGTATCTAAAGTAAGAGAAATTTACATCGGTAAGCATCTCAATTGGAGGAGACCAGACGGCGGTTCTGGTCAGGAAGCCTGACAGGAAGATTTCTTTCTAAAGTAAATGTGATTGTTCCATAATGATAGAAATTCAAAATTAAAATATGGTTAAAATAGTTTTACATGATAACCTTAACTTCACCCGAGCTTCAGAAAGAATTAGGTATAGGTAGAACCATTATTAGAAATAATCGTTTTACCAAGTTTATGAGGTCTCACAAGTTAAGAGCGATTTTGATCCATTACAATGACTGGATTAGATACATGTAGTTTGTTTCTGAGTTGGTCAGACTAATTAGAATCTTAACTTGCTACACGTGATATGTGAACTAATTAATTAGTTGAAGAAACTACATGGTGATTGAGAAAATGGAAAGTTCCCGAAATAGTATTAAAACAGTTTGAAAATTCCAAAATAGGACTGTCATGTTTTTTATTCCCAAAATAGGAGTAATTACTGTCAAGTTTGGAAAATACTGCCATGTTTGAAGTCTGGTACTGGCAAAACATGACAATAATTAGTCCTATTTTGAGAATAAAAACATGACAGTCCTATTTTGGAATTTTCAAACTTTTTTAGTCCTATTACCCTAATAAGACACAAAACTAACAAGTTTCGGTGATTATACTATTATGTTAAGGCGACAACTCCGGTACCCTTTTAAAAAATGGGATACCGTACCTACTATTCATTTGATTGGATCATATCACTTTATCATTTTTAATTTAGATTTAATAATTCAACTTCAACATTCTCATTGGTCCATGTGAACAAAGGGTACCATAGAATCTACTTTATGTTAATTTGTTTAAGACACGTATGGTACAACCGTACAATAGATGGAAATATTTCAATTTAATTAAGGTAATTATTTGGTTCATCATTTAATTGTTTTTTTTGGTAATATCATTTAATTGTTAGAGTACCAAAATTCGTCTATACCATTTCTGCTATTATATAAATACTCCACAATTCCACATGATATGCTTATTTTATCTCCCTTGAGTTACATTTAAGTGATTTAACTCATCTTTCAGGTCTATGACTTTTGTTGATCTCGTACAGGAATAGTGTGACACCAAGATGATCTTAAATGCAAGCGGGAGAATGTATAATGATACTATGATAGACAGCTGTAGGTTGGAGTTTCTGATAAAGCCATTAAAGAGAGTAGCTCTAGGTTGGAAGAAGAAGAGATACATATATGAAAATGGGATAATGAATATGAAACATACAAAGAGTATATGTACAATAGCTAATCTAAACATAAAAGATAAAACAGAATTGCTACAGGTACCCCAAACCTACCCCATTTTTTTACCCCATATAAAAACCCTCCCCCACTTTCTTCTCCCCTTCCACCCTCCCCCACTTTTCTTCTCTCCTCCTACCCTCTCTCCTTCTTTTCACGCACCCCCACACCCCCTCCCCTTCCTTTCTCTTTTCTCCAAATCTTGTTTTCTTCCCCATTTCAAGATCTCCCCCCTTCATTAATACTTCTCATTTTTTTCCATCTTCCCCCCCTCCAAGCTTCTTCTAATGCTTCTCTCCTCTTCTGTCTTTTTTTATTCATTTCAAATGCACAAGCTACAGTAATCGGACGAACGGGGAGAGCTCCGGTGATGTTGGATACATGGGGAGACAACAATGAAGGTGTAGACCAAGAAGCTTTGAATGACTTGAGTGGATCTTCCTTTCTTGATTTTTTGGTGTTTTTTCGAAATTAAAAGGGTTGTCTGTCTGACAGACAACTTGTAAGTGCAATGTCTGTCTGTCTGTAATTGATGGTTAATTGTTTTTCATTTAATTTGAGTTGTCTGTATTTGTTTTGAGTTGTCTGTATTTGTTTTGAGTTGTCTGTATGTAATTTGTGATGTTTATTTTTTGAGATGTAATTAGTATAACGAGACAGACATTAAATATACACATACAGACATAAGTATACACATACAGACATTAGTTTATTGTGAATTACCATTTTGACATATGTTTCATAAAAAAACAGACAATACATATAACTAGACAGACAATAAAGATAACAAGACAGACATTATTTTTCACCACAAATTACTTACAACTCACAATGAAATGACAAACAACTAAATATGAGTTACAGACAACTTCACGACTTTTACAGACACCTCACAACAACATGGCAGACAAGTCATTACAGACAACTCAAAACAAATACAAACAACTAATAAACAAATGACAAACAATTAAATATCAATTACAGACATTTATTTTTCAAAGGACAGACAACTTCACGACTCTTACAGACACTGCACTTTCAAGTTGTCTGGCAGACAGACAACCCCTTTTATTTCCAAAATATATCAAAAATCAAGAAAACAAAATCAAGAAAAGAAGATATGTTGCTCAAGTTATTCAAAGCTTCTTGGTATGTCTTCATTGTTGTCTTCCCTTGAGGTTGCATCTGAAATGGCAACCGACATAGGTCCGCTGTCGGCAACCGGCGTAGGGCCGCCGTCGGCAAGGTCACCGGTGGAAGAAGGGATAAGCAAGAGAAGATCGGAGGTTGGAGGGGGGTGATGATAAAAACGGGAAGTTTTAAAGAAGGAGAAAGATATTGAAATGGAGAAGAAAGGGGAAGGGGGGGGGGGTGCGTGAAAAAGAGGAGAGGGAGGGAGGGAGGAAGAGAGGTGGGGGTGCAGGAGAGAGGGAAGAGGGGAGAAGAAAAGTGGGGGGTGTTTTTATATGGGGTACAAATGGGGTAGGGTTTGGGGTACCTATAGCAAAATTCAAGATAAAATGACCAAACTACCCTTAATGGCTAATATAATATCTAACAGTTTCATCTTCATTATTCATGTAAGAAAACTTGCAGGAAGAACAACAGGTTTAAAACTTCCCAACCAGGAGTTCAGTCACCATTCACCTTGTTGAGGTTTATTCCTTCGACCCTCGGGCCCAACACGTAAGCCCAAAAGATCTCGAATGGAAGAGGGTGTATGAATGCGTGAATATCTAGCCCAACAACTATCAGATGGATCAGGAAACAAAGGAAATAGTAAGCAATGTAAATAGGTATTATTAACTTCGTAATAACTCCCCTAAATACAATCTACTTGCTAAAAAGGCACGTCGGCCGTTCGTCTCACTAGGCAATAATCTGAGCCGCGAGTAAGAGAAATAAGCTAAAATGCCGAGAATAGAAAGTTGCCAACCCCTCACAATGAAATAAATGCTTCTATTTATACCCACCAATGGGCAGGTGGCTATACTGACGTGGCAGCCTGTGGACCGCTGGTGCCCCAACTACCAAATCTTCAGCATTAAATGCACTTCCCGCCAGAATCTAGGTTTCCCGCCTAATCAGTGGGGACGTTCGTCCGCCCGGGAAGTAAGTTGGATCGCTCCAAGTGACCCTCAAGAGATACCGGCTGTTCGTCTCCTGGCCTTAATGGATATTCACCATGTGGACTGGGTTTCCCCCGATGACTACAGGCTTGCTCTGGAGACGTTCGTCGTCATCCCCGGTGGCCCGTGGTCATACTCCTTGTCCCTGCATAGACGTTCGTCGAGATGAGCCGTTGGGCCTGAACCCCCAACCCCAGACGTTCGTCCCTCCTCAAGGAACGTGGGCCTGCGGGCTAGTCTTGTGTTCTAACTGGACGTGCGTCTGGTAAGAAGGGGTTAATGGGCCGGACCTCGGCTTGGGCCCTTAACCCAACACACCTCACCTAGATCAACTGGTTGGGAATTGGGATTAAGCCTTTGTGCTATTTCTTGTATTCAGTGGTGTGTTTAAAAAGTGAAAAGTAATTCATGAGGATAATCGAGTTCACAAACACAAACTCGTTTTTACTAACGAATTCATTCACTATTCGGAACGTATCCCGTAATTTGGCAGGGGAGCCAAACGAAGGCAACAAGAACCCATCGTCACGCGCTGGTCTTACCTTGCAGCCTCAATGTGAATGCTTGTATGGAGAGAAGAAGAGCTTTTAGCTTGTCTTTGCTTTCAGCATCAATCAGATTACCATCACTGTCAAACTTGGGAGGGGGATTTAAAGCATTGAGGAAAAACTCGGGTTTGTTAATGAAACAACTATGAACTCGTGCAATGCACGGTGAGTGAATATTTGGATGGGCTATAAACACCGTTAGACATGAAAATTTATTTAGTTATCAAGTTAAATCGCATACATTAGAATATTAAGAACTAAAAGGGTACTATGTAAGTTTGTTGCAGTATTAAAACTTTCTATCCTACACTCGTACCATTCAGAACCCTACCCTCTAAGATGTGATCACACATCTTTGTTATGATGAGTCTTGTCGCGTTACACAAACGGAGTGGGTGATCAATATTACGCAGAAACATGATTGGGGTGCAAAGTTTCAAACTTGTCATATAGTCGTTGACAGAATCAACAACATCAAGGGTTGGAGCAAGAATAGCTCTATCTCTCAAGTAACTCAAATCAGTACTTGATTTTAGATAATCAAGATATATGATCTCCACTATTTTAGAATTAGATCTCCTGAGTACTTGATTAGGATGTCATCGGGAATTTTTATAAACACACAACTGTCATTTAAATCTCAAAACATCACGGTGCGTAAATTGATTAAAAAAATACGTAGTATATCATTAGTATTTAATGTAAACATGTATTCATATTGTAAAAATGTTAAATGTTAATGATATAAAAATAAATGTAATAATTTGACCATATATGTAATATTGCAAAAGCAAACACACACACACACATAATGACAACATTCTATCCTTAGTCACAAAAGATTATATGGTCGGTTAACATGAATCGATGCATAATATCGGAACCAGAAGGAAACGGAAGTTAAAAAGATAAAGTACAATAAAATATAACGAAAAAGATAATATAAAACAGAAAAGGTATAAAGAAAAATGATAAGATAAACAGGATAAAAAGAATATACCTCATCCGTTTCGAAATGAAGTTCCCGATTTGGGGCACACACACATATTTATGTAGATAATAATTGAAATGTGCATAATAACTCAGTTTCACCTATTATATATGATTTATTACTCATGAAATTACAACACAGAGCATATATAATTATTTGTGGCTACACACACTTCTTCAATAAGAGACCAATATGAAACACTAACTGCCTTGAAACGAAGGCAACAAGAACCCATCGTCACGCGCTGGTCTTACCTTGCAGCCTCAATGTGAATGCTTGTAAGGAGAGAAGAAGAGCTTTTAGCTTGTCTTTGCTTTCAGCATCAATCAGATTACCATCACTGTCAAACTTGGGAGGGGGATTTAAAGCATTGAGGAAAAACTCGGGTTTGTTAATGAAATGAAGGTCAATGTAGATTCCTATCTGGCGGAGATGATATTGTGCTCTCCCCCCGCCAAAGCCTCCTCTGGAACCAACAATCGCAGCCACTTTGTCTCCCCAAACGTTTGGGGGTCGAGATGCCCAATCTATTGCATTTTTCAACGGTCCTACACATGATAGTCATCATAAAACGTTTTATCTCAATAGTATTTTAGAAAAAACCCTATTAAATATATTATCATTTCCAAGTATCATGCACCAAAAAGTTAACGTTTTAGGGGGTGTTTGGAGCTGATTTTGCTTCTGCTTCTTTTTAAAAGTAGAAGTATAATCAGAATCAATTTCAGAAGCTGGTCATCCCCAGCTTCAGCTTCTAAAAGACTGCTTCTAGGAGCATTTTAAAGCTCTTAAAAACATGCCAATATCTACTTCTCCTCCATGAAGGAACAGAAACAGTTTGAAGAAGGAGATCCAAACACCCCTTTAGAAGCCAACGAAGGTTCATAAAAAGCTATCTGTTTACATAAAAACTATTAAGATTTAATGAAGTTCGGCGAAAATTGAAATTCAAATTTAAAAGAAAGCAAACATGAAATAATCTATTCAAATTAATGTGATTTTGTTGTGAAAAACTCATATACAGACATAGAGCGAGAGAAACTGAGGTGAGTCAATATTCATGTTAGGTACTCCGTATTATTTTTTGAGTGAAATTTGGGCTTGAAAAACTAAAAGTATACTATATTACTATTACGTGGTATTTGTTTTTGAGCTTGCACTACAAATTACTCAAATGCTAAAAATCTACATATTCATATAAATGTGACAATGACACAGAATGGGAACAACCTACTTGTGCCCAAGACCTTTCCCGTTTCAAACTCGTACATGATAAATGAATCATGTTCTAAACGGAGCAGGACAACACCAACAGTTCCGACTTCCGAGATGTTTTGGAATATGATAACCGGATTGAGATTTTTGCCCACCCCTAATTTTAGTAATATATACTCCTTATGTAATTATTATTTCTGTAATTATTATAATTATATTGAAATAGTAATATTAATATACTTCCAAGTAGTTTTGTTACCAGTAACTATTGGAGTTCAAATAATAAAGCTGGCAAGGATGAAGCTCAGACATGCGTGCAACGCTCTCCTATAGAAGCAAGAAGGATTAACTAGAAACTTCTATTAGTTAGTCTGTTAGAAGTTAGTTAATTTTCAGCTTCTATATAAACTCTTTCTTGTTCATTTACAATGTACGAACTCCAAAATATTGCTTCTCAATCAATAATACAGTCTCATCTTTTCTTCCTCTTTCATTCATAATCTGCATCATATACGTAGCTTGGATGTATGAACTGTAAAGTTCAACATCGTATCAGAGCTTTAGCTTCCAATCATTCGCCAGAAATCACGATCATCTCTTCTCAATCATGCCTGCAACGGATTCAGGAAGACGGCCAGCTATTGAGGATATTTCCAGTCCTTATTATATAGGTTCTGGAGATAATCCTAACTCTAATCTTGTTAATCCTCAACTCAATGGGAACAACTATCACTCTTGGAGCAAGGCTATGAAGATCGCACTTGGAGCCATAGTTGTCATGGCGCATGGCGACATACATGGCGCACAGGCATTTTTCCATGGCGATGGCGATGGCGCAAATATGGCGTCGCCACGTGACAAAAATAAAAAAAGCTAAAAAAGTGAATTATAAACACTACAATTGTATCCCCAGCCACCAAAATATGATAAACAAGTTGAATAACAACATTCTAACCAAAACATGTGACATTCAAATAGTTTAAAGTAGTTCCAAAAACATAATATTAAAAAAAAAGCTCCATGTCTTTCAAAATATATTAGCTTTTTTTTGTTTGATAATTATTCCATAATCATCATCAATTGTCACACTCCTCAGTTCTCATCACCTTGGTTTGCTAGCATCTTTTTTCATTTTATTTATATATATAACTATATATTTATATATAACTATATTTATATTTATAATTATATATTGTATATAAATTAGAATTAAAACTCACAATTAAAAAAAATGCAAAAGAAACTTACATTTATAATTGAAAACAAGGTTTATTAATGAGAATTAAAATTAAAAAACTAATCAAAACAAAAGGTGAAGTATATCATAGAAGGTTATTTTAAAATAGAAGTATCACAGTTAAAACAACAAAACTATAAATACACAACTTAAAAAGATCGAGGACCTGGGAATGGGAAGTTCTGCGGCTCTGCTTCCGCGAGGGACAGAGGAAGGGCGACTCTGTGAGTTCCTTTCGTCTTATTCGTATTCGTTTGATTCCTGCGTGTGACTCGGGTATATGACTTTGGCTTGGGTATTAGTCTGGGCTTGGGTATACGACTTTTAATATTAAGCCTAAAGCCTTAATTAAATTAGCTTGCTAAAAAATTAAGGCCTCAATTTATTTTATCTTGTTCTGGGCCTGCCAATGCGGTTCTACTTGCGAATAAGGTAAGGATTTGTTCGCCCAACGCCATGGCGAAGGCGCAGGAATGGCGAAGGCGCAGGAATGGCGACGCCATGTGTATATGCCTCGCCACAGGCCTTTTACGTAGCGCAGGGGTGATAAGTGCGCCTCATGGCGCATGGCGCGCGCGCCATTTCACGCCATCGACAACTATGCTTGGAGCGAAGAACAAAATAAAAATTGTTAATGGAACTTTACCAAAACCGGATGCAGATCATGAAGATTTTGCAGCCTGGGAAAGATGTGACCTCATGGCACAGTCATGGATTCTTAATTCATGCACAAAAGAAGTGGCTCAGTGTATTCTGTATGAAGAAAGTGCTGCGTTGATGTGGTCAACTCTCAGCGAAAGGTTTTCTCAAGGAAATCTGCCCAGAATTTTCGATCTGCAGAAACAGATCTACTCAACAGTTCAAGGTAACCTAAATGTTACAGAGTATTACAATAAACTAGATTCATTGTGGAAGGAGTTGAATCAGTATAATCCGGTTGTTGCATGCACATGTGGAGTAGTTAAAGGCTGTAAGTGTGATTTCTTAAAGACAATCAATGAAAGAGAGGAAAGGAATACGTCGATTAAGTTTCTGATGAGTCTAAATGACACATTTTCTGGAGTTCGTGGACAGATTCTTGTTATAAAACCTTTTCCAAGTCTGAATCAAGTGTTTAGCTATGTTCTGCAAGATGAAATGCAGAGAAATGTAGGAAGTGGCTTGCAAATTGAACCTATGGCCATGATGACTAAAGGAAATGTGAATGAACAGATCATATCTAATCCTGCAGCAAATCACAGCGTGTATAACAAGGGATTTAAGCCTAACAATTTCAAGAAAGAAAACAAGGTTGTTTGCACACACTGTGGATATATTAATCACACAGTTGATAAGTGCTACAAGTTACATGGATATCCTCCTGGATACAAGCCAAAAGGGAAGCAGGTACAAAACAGTAATGGATACAGTACTACTGGGAAAACAGGACAAGCTAATGCCTATAATGCTCAGATAGAAAGTATTCCACAAGTATTTGAGAATAAGACAAGTTCCACTGTGACTCAAGATCAATATCATCATTTGCTCAGTCTGATCCAGAATCTGGCCAATTCCCAAAACACTTCCCTCACTCCTTTAAGCTCTAATTCAGCACTAAACACAGCTAGTTCTTTTAGTTTTTACACTTCTGTCATTAGTGCTAATGCCACTTTATCCACTTATTCTTCCTGGATCCTTGACACAGGTGCTACTGATCATATGGTCAGTAACATCTCTCTTTTCAGTTCTTTAAATCCTGTTTCAGACATCTTTGTACATTTGCCAGATGGATCAAAAGTTTCAGTCTCACATATTGGGACAATTCAACTATATCCCAGTATAGTCTTAACCAAAGTGTTATATGTTCCCAACTTTAGTGTTAACCTCCTTTCTGTCAGTAAATTGTTGTCTGAAACTTCTCTAAATCTCACATTCTTTGAAAATAAATGTGATTTACAGGACAAAGATTTGAAGGTGAAGATTGGCACTGCTGAATTGATCAAGGGACTGTACATATTGAATCCTCAAAGAGAAGCCTCCATAGTTCATAATTCACATTTCTCCCATAATGTTTCTTCCTGCATCTGGCACCAAAGACTTGGGCATGCATCTGATTCTAAACTTCAAGTTTTAAAAGATGTATTGCATTTTTCTTCTCTTGATAATAAAGCTTGTAATATCTGCCCTATGGCAAAACAACATAGATTGCAGTTTTCTAAAAGTTCAATAAAGTCTTCAAAAGTCTTTGATCTTATACATTGTGATGTTTGGGGCCCTTTCTCTATTCCCACATATGATGGTTTTCAATATTTCCTAACCATTGTAGATGACTTTTCTAGAGTTGTTTGATGTTGCTTAATGAAACATAAATCTGACACTAAACATCATCTTGTAGCATTTATAAACTTGTTCAAAACCAATACTCTGCTTCCATTAAGACCATAAGAACTGATAATGGAACTGAATTCCATCTTCCTGAATTTTACTCTCATGAGGGAATTATTCATCAAACTACATGTCCATATACCCCTCAGCAAAATGGAATCACTGAAAGGAAACACCAAACACTTCTGAATATTGCTAGGGCACTCAGATTTCAATCTAACCTCAGTCTACCCTTTTGGGGTGATTGCATCCTCACAGCTACACACATTGTCAATAGATTACCCACAATAGTCTTAAACAACAAATCACCATTTGAAGTCTTTCATAATCAAAGCCCAGATTACTCCACACTAAGAACCTTTAGCTGTCTTTGTTTTGCTTCCAATCTCACTGGTTACAAAACAAAATTTCAGTCCAGGTCAAGAAGGTGTATATTCATTGGTTACCCTTCTCATACCAAAAGATACAAGCTTTATGATCTTGACACTTGTCAAGGTCTCTCGAGATGTTGTTTTTCATGAGTCTACATTTCCTTTTAAGGACTCTTTAACCATCAACAATGATACAGTTCTTCCTGTCCCTATTCAAGAAGTTTCTACTTTAGAACAAATCCACAATACACCCACTCAACCTCTTGATCATACCTTTGAAAACACTTCTTCAAACTCAGAAACCACTTTTTCAAACACTTCTCAACCCCATCAAAGACCTGTAAGGTCCAGAAGAGTTCCTAACCATCTTAGAGATTACATATGTGCAGTCACTCAGAATTCAAATTCAGCTGCCACTTCTTCACCTCACAATATCAAGAAAGGTAAATCTCTTCACCCTATTCATAAATATATCACTTTAGACAAATTTTCTTATTCACATCAAGCATTTTCTGCTGCCATATCCCATATTTCTGAACCCACAACCTATACTCAAGCTTCTCTTGATCCAAACTGGAGAAAGGCTATGCAGAATGAGATTTCTGCTCTTGAGTCTAATGGAACTTGGCTTATTACTGATCTACCTCCTGGAAAAACTACTATCAAATGCAAATGGGTGTATAAAGTGAAATATCATGCTGATGGAAGCATAGAAAGGTACAAGGCAAGACTTGTTGCCAAGGGATATACTCAGATTGAAGGATTGGATTTCCTTGATACTTTCTCCCCTGTAGCCAAGTTTACAACAGTAAGGGTCCTTCTTTCAATGGTGGCATCAAAAGGATGGTTTCTAGAACAATTAGATGTACACAATGCTTTTCTAAATGGAGATCTCCATGAAGAAGTGTACATGACCATTCCTCCAGGTTTTGAACAAAAGGAGAAAAACAAAGTGTGCAGATTACTCAAGAGTTTGTATGGACTAAAACAAGCTAGCAGGCAATGGTTTTCTAAGCTCTCTTCTGCATTAAAGGACTATGGTTTTGTCCAGTCTCATGTGGACTATTCTCTATTCACCATGCACACTGAAAAGTCCACATTGATCATTTTGGTTTATGTAGATGACATTTTGATTGCCTCATTTGACATGAATCAAATAAATCACCTCAAACAATTCTTGGATGCTCAGTTTAAGATCAAAGATTTGGGTCCTGTCAAATTCTTTCTTTGCCTAGAAGTAGCACGCTCATCAAAAGGACTCTACTTATGCCAACGCAAGTACACCTTAGATCTTTTACAACAATATGGATATCAAGATTGCAAGCCTGTATCATTTCCAATGGACACCAAGCTTCATCTAAGCAGCACAGATGATCATTACCTTAGTGATCCCTCAATCTACAGATCTTTGGTTGGAAAGTTGCTATACTTAACCATCACAAGGCCTGACATCAGTTTTGTTGTTAACTCATTAGCACAGTTTATGCAAAAACCTGGTCAAACTCACTTATCTGCTGCACACAGAATATTAAGATACTTGAAAGGTTCCATAGGCCAAGGTCTTCTATATTCATCCAATTCAGATTTGAAGCTCAAAGATTTTTCAGATGCCGACTGGGCCAGTTGCATTGATACTAGAAGGTCTGTCACAGGTTATTGTATGTTTCTGGGTAGTTCACTCATATCCTGGAAATCCAAGAAACAACATACTGTTTCAAGGAGTTCAGCTGAAGCTGAATACCGGGCTCTAGCTACCTCAGCTGCTGAAATCCTTGGTCTACTTCAACTATTTAAGGATTTCAAGCTTCCCATATCAAGTGCTACCATATACTGTGACAGCAAATCTGCCTTGGCACTTGCAGCAAACCCAGTTCATCATGAAAGAACAAAACATGTAGAAATTGATTGCCATTTCATCCGAGAATGGATCCAATCTGGTGTGATACATACTCTCTTTGTTCCAAGTCGTCATCAAGTGGCAGATATACTTACAAAACCCTTGGGCAAAGAATCATTTCATTTTCTACTATCCAAGATGAGTGTACAAAACTTGTACTCTCCTCTTGAGGGGGGGTATTGGAGTTCAAATAATAAAGCTGGCAAGGATGAAGCTCAGACATGCGTGCAACGCTCTCCTATAGAAGCAAGAAGGATTAACTAGAAACTTCTATTAGTTAGTCTGTTAGAAGTTAGTTAATTTTCAGCTTCTATATAAACTCTTTCTTGTTCATTTACAATGTACGAACTCCAAAATATTGCTTCTCAATCAATAATACAGTCTCATCTTTTCTTCCTCTTTCATTCATAATCTGCATCATATAGGTAGCTTGGATGTATGAACTGTAAAGTTCAACAGTAACAATGAAAAATGAGTTCATTTCTTAAAATTGTAACTACTTTCTTAAAATTTGAACTACTTTCTTGACCTTCCCCTGCCCAGCTTACAATTCCGAGTAGTTTAGTTAGTAGTTACCAGTGACGGAGTAGTTGTACTCTGGGGAGGCAAAAATGATGCTGTCAGCTTGGAGAATCTTCTGGCGAAACTCCTCCACGATCGGAGGGTAGGTTCCATCAACCTCGAGATCCGTGTTTAGAAACGGCAACGCCGATATATCCACGAGCTCTATTTCCATCCCTTTAATCTCTTCCTTGCTTATCTCCATTGCTACAACAAGTTCACTACTAGATCAGCATCCAAATCTCACAATCAAATCTCGATTGACATAACCTGTTCCAAATTGTGCTAATAAACCAAATGCTCGAGTTACCAGCTACAGATTGATCTGGAACGTATGAGAGAGAAACTGCGGAAGGAAGATACAGGGGGGCATAGAAGAAGATGGAGTACCTGCGCGGAGGAGACCGCGGTTGTGTGAACCTTTCCGCAGAGAGCCACAGATTCCCGCCACTCTGACGACCGGATGAGTAGCCACAGCTGCAGCTTCCATTGAAAAATGAGGAATACGGCTTGAATGATAGAAAAGGAAAGGGGGTTAGGGCAGGAACTGAAACGGAAGCAGGATATTGCTATTTGGAGCACTCAAATGCTTATACCACCAGTGTTATAAGCTACAGTACATAAATTTTGCTTCCTTATGTGTTTTAGACAAAAGTTGGTGCATTATGAATCCTTTGTTTATTTTAGAAATGTCTTTGATGAAAATAAAATATAAAGGCTAAAGGGTCAAATAGGTACATGAACAAACTTAAAGTGTTCAATTAGCCCCTTATATAGGAGGTTCTGTCCGGCCGTCGCCAATTGGGGCGGTTCCCGATGGAATTTTTTGATGAAAATTTTTGAGCATGTTCTTCATTAAGTCTAGTTTACCCATACCAAATTTCAGCTAAGAATTCAACCGGGAAGGCAGTCAAATGATTTTTTGAAGATAACTGCGCAGTTAAACAACGCAGTACATTTCAAAAAATCATTTGACTGCCTTCCCGATTTAATTTTTAGCTGAAATTTGATATGAGTAAACTAGACTTAATGAAAAAGATGCTCAAAACATTTCATCAAAAAATTCAACCGGGAACCACCCCAATTGGCGACGGCCGGGCAGAACCTCCTATATAAGGGGCTAATTGAACACTTTAAGTTAGTTCATGTACCTATTTGACCCTTTAGCCAAATATAAATATATACGTATTCGGTTTGCCTCGCGCCCCAAAGCCCTACATCGTCCTCTTCTTCTGGTTTGCCAACCACCCCTACTGTTTGTTGCTCCCTTGCTGAAGCTAAGTGTATAAAGTGTGACGACAACTTAGCTTAATATATAATAGAGGTAAGTCAAGTAACAGATAAAGATATACAGAGTACTAGTATTTTGGCCGTAGTAAACTAGACCGTAATGTTCTTGAGTGACTTAATAGAAAAGTCAAATCAATGAACTAACTTCAAAACTTGTTATTTCAGTCAAAACATTTAATTTATACTCCGTATAATTTAGGGAGAACTACGTAAAAAGCCCTCGAACTTACATAAAAAGTGCACATAACCCCTTATAATAGGAGGCTTTGTCCGGCCATCGCCATTGGGGGCGATTTCGGTGGAACTTTTTGAGCATCTTAGTCATTAGGTCTAGTTTACGCATACTAAATTTCAGCTAAAAATTCAACTGGGAAGGAAGTCAAATGAATTTTTGAAGATAACTACGCAATTAAACAGCGCAGTATATTTCAGAAAATCTTTTGAGTGCCTTCCCTGTTGACTTTTTAGCTGAAAATTAGTATGGGTAAACTACACTAAATTTACAAAATGCTCAAAAAATTTCATCAAAAAATTCCACCGGGAACCGCCCCAAATGATGACGGTCATACAGAGCCTCCTATATAAGGGGTGATTTGCACTTTTTATGTATGTTCGAGGGCTTATTTGGTAGTTCTCCCTATAAGTTAATATTTTTTTTGTTTTTAATTTTTAGAAACTATAATTTGATTTTTGATATTGTCTGTTGATTTAAACAGAGATAAGTAATACATAGTACTACGTATTTACTATATTAATATTCTCTTTAAAAGAAGATTAGACAACTTGGAAATGATAAGGATGAAGTATAAAATAGTTATTGTCATTCTTTGTACTAACCCATTTAATTGACTCATGAAATTCTGTAATCAGTTTACCCGGACCTCCATATATCTGGTTGCGTCATCAATGGAAAATCGGAATTCTAATGCTTCGAAAAAGAGTAAATGGAGGATGTTATACGATACCTGGGAGTCAGGGAGTGCATGATGCGAATGAGGCATGCGGAGCTAGATGAACTCAGTAAATATCGCCAAACTATTCAACACAAGATCAATTTAGACAATGGACGATGGGTATCTGACGTTAAACAATTGCAAGGTCAAATTCATCAGGTAGTATTTACATTTTTTTGGTGTTCCGTTCAATAAAGTAAGGAATTTTTGTTTGGGATCAAGTTGAATGTGATCAGGGGCGGACCGTAGTACAGACCCAGGGGGGCGGTCGCCCCCCCAACAAAAAAAAAATTAGTGTATATATATAAAAAATAATAATTTTCGCCCTCCCAAAAAATATTTTGTTTAAGTTACCGCCCTCCCAAAACAAACTTCCTGGGTCCGCCCCTGAATGTGATGCTTTAATTATTGTGGGTTGTTTTTGACTTACTTTCTACAGATACAGACTAAATTGAAAGAACAAGAGGTAATTAGTGCGGATGAGGTTGCAGAATGAGAAATCATTTTTTTTTTAAAAAGAGCACGATGTTTTTTGGCTTAATGTAAAATGTGGTTAGTGTTTTTAGATTTCCTCTACTAAAAAATGAGTAATAACATTTGCTATTAGTTTAGTTATTTGGTATCAATGTAACGCAAATGAAAGAACTCTGTCTTTGTCTTATTGATATTGAAGATTACGGTAATGATCATTACAGTATTTAATGGCACAAAGCATTATGAAACAAATATTAAGTATTTACTTAAAATTGATCGCAAATAATAATATGTGAGAATATTGAGTACAATATCTAAATATGAATCATATGATTCTTCACCTGCAATTTGATATGAATATAATTAAATAATTTTAAATTAAATCTCAAATCCTTCAAATATTCGAACGTTCTTTAAATATTCAGATCTTCATTCCTGAGATTTCCGAATCTTTGAATCTTTGTTCTTCGCATCTTCAAATCTTCTTGAATGCAGAATTCAGCGTAAAGGGTCTCCGGTTTCCAATGAGCTTGATCTTTAACAAAATGGCCGTTTTGTGCCTTGATCTTCTATTAAAGGGCTTCCCGGGATATATGGCTTGATCTTCAATTGAATCTTGATTCAGTCTTCATATGAATATCTTCATATCTTCAAAGATTCGTTTTTCAGATCTTCGAATCTTCAAAGTCGTGTTCTCAAATCTTTGAATCTTCAAGCTTTGTTCTTCATATCTTCGAACGTTCTTCAACTTTTGGACTTATTTTATCAAGAATTGACGAAATCACAAAGGATTATTCGTATATTCTTAATAAAATTTGTGGCTTGATCTCTTCCTCTTCTTTGGAATCATTCAGAGCCTCTCGGGAGTTCTTCGGAGCTTCTCTGCAGCGTTTCTTCGACTGGAAGTTCCCTCCTCTTTCTCTCCACTGAGACCCCTATTTATAGGCCTGAAGGGGTGAAAATATGCTTTAGGGTTTAGCAAAAAATCTTCCATATCTCTTGGGCCTCAATTAAAATAATCTCCGGGCTCTATTTGCTTGCATTTTAATAGATAGAAAAATCAGCACTTGTCCGATGTATCTGGACACATAGATTTCTCAACCAGATTTATTGCTCTCTTTATCAATTGGATCATGTTTGTTATGTATTGAGCCACTAGTTGATAATGTGCTCAAAATTAATAGGAATGGTCCATTCCCCTAAAAACATAATTTATAATAAAATTAATTGGATATTTTTAATGACCAAATTAACTTAATCACTAAATTTCTTCTCAAATGGTCCATATCACTCTCTCTTCTTTTTTGTTTTAAGGCCCAACAACGATCACGAGCAGCTCAGTCGATTCTGACTGTGGCCCAATAAGACATAGTCTCGAAAATTGATTTTATTTACCCATCAAAATCAGCCCATAATATTGCAAAATAATGTAAAAAAACGATATAATAACAATAGAATAAGACTACGCTAAAATCATTATCTTTATTTGATCATCAAATAACACCCAAATTAAACTCATCATTTTCAATAAAATGACAGATGCCATGAGAAAAGTTGTGCGCCTGTTACATTTATTATTATTTATGAGTAAAAAATTATACTAAAACAATGTCAGGTTTAGAAAAACCATGATTTTGGTATACTTGTTTGGAAAAACATAAGAAATCTAGTAGTATTTAAAGTTTTTGTCTTTTAGGATACTAGCCTTAGCCTCCATGTAATTAATTTTAGTATTTAATAATTGTATTGTGACAGTTCAAAAACACGGGGTCGTGTGGAGGAGGTTTTCATTTTTGCTTTTAAACTATTGTTGATCTTCTACGCATTTAATACATTTATTCAATTGATCAATTAATGTTTATTTGTTTTGGAAAATATGGGAAAAATATGGGAAGCAAAAGTCCCCCCTTTAACGGAGCAACATCATTTTTTGGTTCAAACAAACGGTACATGTTTTTGTGCAAAAAAGCTAACTAGGAATTTTAATCATTGAAATAATTGAATGATTAAGCATCCTTTAATTATTTGTGCAGAATCTTTATTTTCAAGGGTATTTGGGTTTTGATCATGGGTATTAGGGTAACTTTGTATTAATATTTTTTTTTTTTACTTTGTATTAATAATTACAGACTTTTTGTCTTCCGAAATCTAAACACCTAATCCTCTTTACCTCTTCATATTTATGCTCACTATCTCCTAAGCCTTTCTCTTATCACCTTCCTTTTCGAATAGGGGCTCCTTGAATAACACATCTACAAGGTGATGTGGCCCATGATATTACAGCTACATGACAAGGACTACAATATCTATCAAAAACTCGCCGGTGAAATGACATGGGGGCTATTACTGAGATTGGAGAGGACAAAAGTCTGATTTGGTGACCTGTTAAGATATATAGAGGATTCTACTCGGCCGGGAAAGACACCGGAGAACATGGCATAGAAGTCATCTCCCATCTAGCAAAGTTGATATAATGGCAGACGACGGTTCTCAATTTCTCATCAAGCCAGTCTAATATAATGTTCAATTGCATACTACATAGTACTTACCAAATGAGACATAAATTTGGAGAATTCGTTCGCATTCCATAGTTGTCAGGTCATAGCCAATTGTTTATCAATTTGGACTTTCGGAGGAAGGCATTTATAAAAACATGATGAAATTCACACCAATAATCTTTAGTTTAAGTAATTTTACAAAAATAATCCCCAATTAATATAATAACTTATACCCTTAAATACCTCCATATGAATAAATTAAGGGATATTTTGAGTTTGCACCCCATTTTATTACCCAAATAGGACATTGCACTCCGTTTTTGAAAATCTTTGTTTTTGCACACCAACCTTGTATGAAAAGACAAAAATGCCCCACTGATCGGCTTAAACTTGCAAGTGTACAAGTGCCGATGTAGTAATAAAATCCGGTAAAAATACCGAGTCGAACACGAGGAAACGT